CCCCCCCCAGCACCCTCCTGGGCACCCCAGAGTCATCCTCCCATCCCCTGGGTGCCACCCACCCTCCCAGTGTCATCATTCCAACCCCCCCTTTTGGGTTATCCATCCCTGGGTCTGCTGCTGCCTTGCTGTCATCGATGCCCCCACGCCAGGTAACCTGTGGGATACCCCTGGTATCACACACACACACACCCCCATCCTTCCCAGACACCCACAGCCTGCACAGCCCCCACCCCTCCTTGTTCCCTGGCATCACTCCATTGCTCACATCCCTCCTTGGCATCACCCTGACCTCAAAGGGGCACCCAAAGGTCCCCCCCCACCTCTCACAACACCCCTCCCTCCACCTTAACTGGCCACTTTTCCAGTATAACTACCCTTAGGCTCCCCCCACTGCACCCCTGCTTGTCCCAGTCTCCTCTGTCACCACCTGCCAGCCCTGGGGTCCCTCTGCACTGCAGCACTACTTGCCCAGGCATGCTCCCCACTGCTCCCATCACCTTCCTGGGTCCTGTCCCTGCAGGGGACACCCCTCAGGGTCCTTCTGCTGGCACAACACCCCTTTTTGCTGCCACCCACCCCAAACACCCCCAGAGGCCCCTGCTCAGCATCACTTGTCCTGGCCCCTGCCCTATGCTGTGCCCTTGGCCTCTGCCTATGTCCCCCCACCACTCTCTCCCCTTCCTCTGTGTGATGCTCCCAGGGACATCCTTCCCTAAATCCCTAACCTGTGCCTTGGCACCCCTGTGCCCTGCCTGTGGGGTCTCTCCCTGTGCCCTGCGCTTCTGCAGAACCCCAGCACTGTGTCCTTCTTCCTGAGGGACCCCATTGTCACCTCCAGGCTCAGACCCAGCCCTGGGGAGAATCCCTATGTGCTGCCCTCAGCCCTTCCCTGCACCCTATGCCAGTGCCTTCCTCTTCTTCCTCTGTTACACCCCCTCCTGGGGCTCCCTCTGCTATTCTGATCTGCGCCACAGCCTGTGCATGTCCCTCAGGGACCTTCAGTGGTCTCTGCCCCGGTCACACCAAGGGGACATCTTCCCCCTCTCTGTCTGAGGCACAGTCCTGTCTCCTTTGAGCACCCCAAGGCTGTAGCCCATTACAGTGCCCTGCCTGCTCCCTTGAGGTCTTACGTCTTTGGGACCTTTCTTTGTGCTCTCCTGTCCCTGTTCCCCCCCACCCACCAGTCCCGGCTCCGTGGGGACAGCCCTAAAAGCAGCAGTGCCAGCAGCCTGGGTTACATCCCCATCTTCCCCTGGGGTCCCTCAGCAGCATCACGGGGCTGTCAGGAGTCACCTTCTCCTGCCACAGCCGATGACTGTGATGGTGCCATCTCCGAAATGCTCCCTCCCTCCCTCTGCTCCCTTGGCTGCTTGTCAGACCCAGCTCTGCCAATGTGCAGTGAAGATGTGGAAAAATACCAGAGCCCTGTATCCTCGAGGCCCCCCCAGCACATCCCAGCCCTTCCCTTCTCCAAACTTGTGTTCAGGGCTCCCATCTGCTCCTGGGGGAGCTCAGTGTCCCAGTGCTCCACAGTGTAGCAGCCTCCAAGCCCTGTCCCAGGCTTACAGACTTCAGGTGGGGCTGCTGAGACCCATCCTCTGAGCAAAGCCCTGGCTCTCAGACTGCCCCTACCCTTCCTGTCCCCTCCTGGCTCCTGGGGGGACATGTCCAGACCTGATCCTGCTCTCCCTTCACACTCCACACACAGCCACTCAAGGGAACCTCCCCAAGAAGGGCAGTGTCCTAATTTCTGTGCCCTGGTGCTTCCTTTATGTGCTTTTGTGGGCACAGCTCCCTGGGAGAGGAGCCAGCTCTTCCCTTCGGGTGTGTGTCCAGCTGGAGCAACTCAAGCTCTTTCTGGCAGATATGGGGGGTTCCTGCCCCCCATTTGTCATGTTGCACACCCTGAGAAGAGGTGGCATGGCTTGGGGAAAGCTCTTGGGTAGCTATAGGTGTCCCCTATCCCTTGGCAGGAGGGGAGCCTCATGACTTATGTGCTGTGGGGCTGGCAGGACGCTGCCATGGTCCCTTTGAAGAGGGGAGCGGAGCTGGGCTCTCCATCCCAAGCACTGATTTCACTCCCCAAACCAGAGTGCATTCTGCCTTCCTCCTGACTGCCCTCTGGGCTGTGTTGTGCTGCCCACTGTCTCGGGCAGGGGCTGTGCTCGCCCGCTTTCCCAAGCTTTGAGTCTGATACGGCACCGATAAATATTTTTTTCAAAACAAAAGCTAGTGCTAGAGGAGCCTCCCGGGTTCTGCTTGCTCTTCCTTCCCGGGCTGCCTCCGTGGAGCTGCCGTGCTGTCGCTCCAGCCGAGGTAGCCAGCACGTAGCCGTGCTGCCGTGCCATTCTGCACGACCGCAGCTGGGCTATTTACGGGCCTGCACAGATGCTGTGCCAACGCGCCGGGGGCTCAGGGCACGGGGGGATTAGTGGGAGACTTTCTGGATCGGGAGCACAACTGTCGGGATACCAGGCGATGTCGGGGCTCGGCTGCAGCGCGGAGCCTGAACCGTCATCATTTTAACGAGATGTGGAATAATAAATGTAAGGACAGGGTGCAAAAAGGAAGCTGAAAGCCTGGCACTGAGCCTGGAGGAGAGGCATGGACCCGAGCAATGTGCTTGGTGCCCTGATACACGTGAATGTCTGGGGGCTTGTGCACGGCCACGTGCCCCCCTTGTTGTTCCTAAACCACAGCAGTGATGGAGCTGCCTTAAGTGAACCTGTATAGGGTGCTGCTCCCTAGCATGTCACCCACGGGTGACACCAACTCACTGCCACACTCACGGGCTGCCCTGGCATCGCCCACGCATGTTACCATCAGTCCAAGCACCCAGGCTTCACGCTGCTGGTTCTCATCTCTCCAGCGCAGCCTCTTTGCACAGAGGGAGTCGGAGGTTACACGCGACAGTGGGATGCTGGCTCTGCTCTTGTTAGCTTATTATTTTTTTTTCCCTTCGATGCTAAGCAAATTAACAAGCTGTTAATGAGCTCCCAGGATAGGTCATGGGAGCGCTGCTGCAGGTTTGGGGAGGTTAGTGTGTGCCGTCCTGCTTTTGGGCAGGGAACACACAGGGATGCTCACTTCGTGATGGAGACCAGGTCTGGCCTGGCATCTGCATCTCTTCAGCCCTTGGCTGCTTGACTTCAGTTTGCAAACATCTCGTCATCTTTAGGAAGCGGCTTGCCAGCTCTTTATGTTTAAAGCTGTTTGTTTTGAAGGCAGGAAGATGATTTAACAACTAAAATACTTTCAGATTATAGAAAGAAAATGAGGAAATATTACTCTTGGCTTGAGCCTCTCCTCGCAGCACTCCACCCAAAGTGAAGTGCATGGTGCTAACAGCTACTGCTGGGTCAGCGGCGTCCTCCCTGCTGACGTCCAGGGGCCAATTTTTAAATCAGAGGCTTCGTTATGCTAAAAACAACCCTTGGCTTGGTGGAGCCAGTAGGTCTGTGCTGCTGGTGAGCTGGAGTTCGAGCTGATTCCCTGTGGGAAAGGTCTTTGGGCAGCGCTGCTCACCCTCCCACCTGTGTGCCCTGCCTTGATGCTCCTGGCCATGTTGCTGTGAATGCTCACCCTCTCACCTGTGTGCCCTGCCTTGATGCTCCTGGCCGTGTGTGGGCACGGTGCTGCTTGTCCTGTGGCAGTTCCTGGCTGAGAAGACCCAAACCTTCCTGCTTCCCGTGGTGGGGCTGCCTGGATGCTGAGGGGAGCATGTGGGCACGGTGCTGCTTGTCCTGGGGCAGTTCCTGGCTGAGGAAGACCCAAACCTTCCTGCTTCCTGTGGTGGGGCTGCCTGGATGCTGAGGGGAGCAGGAAAGCAAAGCCCTGTGCCCTCCTGCACTGGGGTTTAGCAGATCTAAGGTGGCAGCAGTGGTGTGAGGTGGGGCTGAGCAAAGGTCTCCGCTCCTGGGACGAGTGGCCTCTGCTTCCATCTCCATGCTGTCGTGTTAGTCTCACCAAAGGGTGGCTCACACCAGAGAACCTGCTTTTACTCATTGGTTTTTGGCCTCCAGAGCCAAGCTGTCCCATGCTGCTCCCAGTTGGCCCTTGGGCTCACATGCTGAGGCCCCCTCCAGCACTTTGGGGAGCATCTCCTTTGGCTCCTCAAAGTGCACCCCATGTCTCCAGCCTGTTCACCATCCCTCCCATCCCCCAGCCCTACCCTTCATCTTTTGCTGAGGGCAGGGAGGTGCAGCCAAATCTTTCTGTTGTGCAGACTTTTCATTTCCATAGCAGTAGCCATGGATACAGACTGTTTGTGCAAATAACCAATATTCCCACCCACACCGATCACTGACCATTGCAGGCGCCGGGCTTGGTGTCCGTGGTAGTCATTGGCTTTACCTGCTGCTGGAAGTTTGCTTTCCCAGATGCTCTCTAGGGCTTTGCTGAAAACAAAACCCAACTTTGTCAAACGGGTGGGGTTATTTAACTGCTTTCCAAACACTTTTGGATTCGTCTCTGTGACTCGTTAACTGTGGCAGAGGTGAGTGGTGTGTCCTTCAGCTTTCTCCCTTATGGTGCTTGAGGGTGGAAAATTAAAAAAAAAAAACAACAAACAAACCTAACAAAGCCCTAGTTCCTAGAGCAAAATGATGCCCTGGTTGTGTGTGCAGGCTCTGAGTGTCACCTGGGTCTTCTGTGAAGGTGATGTGGGATCTGGCCACAGGATTGGCATCCTGGCATTGGCTAAGGGGGGCGGGTTTGATGCCGGCGGCTCCCCAGGGCATCCCTAGGATGCCCTGGGGACCGCCAGCAGCAAACGCATCCCCCTTAGCCAATATGATGCTTGTTGCACTTCTCCATGTGTCTGGTTTTCGTCTGAGACAGTGATTTGCCTTGGCAGGGTGGGGTGTGGATGAAATCCTAGATGTGATGAATTGGGAGCCGAGACGCTCCGAGCTTGAAGAGCTCAACGAGGTGTCTGGATGAAGGAAGAAGCTGTTGGGGCATAATATTAAGTAGCAGCGCTGAAGAGCGAGGGCACAGTTATATTCCTAAGCGTGGAGGAGATTGCACTTAAACATCTGCTATTTGGGCCTCCAAATTTCTTCTCTTTAAAGGCTTGTTGGCGCTCGGCGAAAGCCGTGTGAAGCGGTAGAGCTCCCCTAGCACAAACACAAAGCTTTAAATGCACAAATTTTAGCTCAAGAAGTGCCGTGGGGCTGTGACACTGGTGTGGCTGCTGTTAGCAAGGCTGTAGTGGCACAACGTTAAGGGGTGTGATTTATTCCCCACTTGCAGTTATACTGGTAAAGCGTAAGGTATAAGTCAGCCTTCGCCTCCTGCGGCAGAGCTCAGGTGGGAGAGCTGGCATTCATGCAGAAATGATTATTTTTTTTCACGTAGACTCGCTGCTAATTGTGCTTTTAGTGCCCGTTGCTTTGGCTTCCAGAGCCTGGGGAGAATTGCCTGACTGTAGTGGAGGAAAATAACCCTCTGCTTCCAAATTCTCTGCAAGCACCTGAGAAGATGTGTGCTTGGGTTACCCTCCCCCTCTGCTCTGCCCTGGTGAGGCTCCATCTGGAGCACTGGGACCAGTTCTGGGCTCCCCAGTTCCAGAAGGACAGGGAACTGCTGGAGAGGGGACAGCAGAGGCTACAAAGATGATGAGGGGCCTGGAGCATCTCCCTTGCGAGGAGAGGCTGAGGGACTTGGGTCTGTTTAGTCTGGAGAAGAGAAGGCTGAGGGGAGATCTGATCAACACCTATAAATACTTAAAAAGGGTGGGTGTCAGGAAGATGGGGCCAGTCTTTTCTCAGTGGTGCCCAGTGACAGGATAAGAGGAAGTGGGCACAAACTTGAACATAAGAAGTTCCACCTAAACATGAGGAGGAACTTCTTCACTTTGAGGGTGGCAGAGCCCTGGAAGAGGCTGCCCAGGGAGGTGGTGGAATCTCTTTCTCTGGAGACATTCGAAACCCACCTGGACACTTTCCTGTGCAACCTGCTCTGGGTGGACCTGCTCTGGCAGGGGGTTGGAGGAGATGATCTCCAGAGGTCCCTTCCAACCCCATATCATTCTGTGATTCTGTGGTCTCACTCGCACGCCTGCACTTTGCTGGGAGCAGGTCCCTGAGCTGGCTCCCAGGCAATAAACATGGTGCTGGTGTGTGACACTCAACAGGATCCTAAAGCACTTGAAGCCACAGCAGTGTCAACATCGGTGCTGCTGACCTGCAGTGTGATAGGTCCCCAGTCACATTCCTAAGGCCTTTATTATCTGCGTAAACCAGATCCATTTCTTGCCTGCACTGAGTTCCTTTGGACATTTTGTAATGTGTCTGAAAAACCCACTCTTGTTTTTGTCCCTTTTGGTAAGGTGAGAGGATCCTGGGCTACGCGGAGGAACCTTGCTATCTCTGGTTCGTCATGGAGTTCTGTGAAGGTGGAGACCTCAACCAGTACATCCTCTCACGAAGACCCGACCCGGCGACAAACAAGAGCTTCATGCTGCAGCTGACCAGCGCCATTGCCTTCCTGCACAAGAACCATATTGTCCACCGGGACCTGAAACCAGACAATATCCTGATAACCGAGAAGTCTGGCACCCCCGTTCTCAAGGTGGCCGATTTTGGGCTGAGCAAGGTCTGTGCTGGCCTGACTGCTCGGGGCAAGGAGGGCACGCACGAGAACAAAAATGTGAATGTGAACAAGTACTGGCTCTCCTCGGCTTGTGGCTCTGATTTCTACATGGCACCCGAGGTCTGGGAGGGACACTACACCGCCAAGGCTGACATCTTCGCCCTCGGCATCATCATCTGGGCCATGATCGAGAGGATCACTTTCATCGACGCGGAGACCAAGAAGGAGCTGCTGGGGACCTACATCAAACAAGGGACTGAGATTGTGCCTGTTGGGGAAGCGCTGCTAGAAAACCCAAAGATGGAGCTGCACATCCCTCAGAAACGCAGGACTTCCATGTCTGAGGGGATCAAGCAGCTCTTGAAAGACATGTTGGCTGCTAACCCGCAGGATCGACCCGATGCCTTTGAGCTTGAAACCAGAATGGACCAGGTTACATGTGCTGCTTAAATTCAGGGCAGGGCACTGCTGTGCTTTACCGCTGGGTAAGTGATCCGCAGTTTTTGTATTATTCTGTCTGCTGTACCAGCCTGATAATGCACTTTGTAGTGACACAAAGGAGTCTTTTATGTTCCAGAGCTATTTCTATAGTGATTCATCAGAGCACTGCTTCGTCATTTTTATATTTTTTTTTTCCCCCCACCTATTCTACTGCAAAAATAAACTAGAGGTGGGAAGCGGAATTAGCAGCTGCATGTCCTGCTGTTGCCCAAAGGCTCAATGGAGCTGGCAGGGCTGGGTAGGAGCTGGGTCAGCCTCCTCAGAGGTCCTGGCCAGTGGTTGAGACAGGCTGGTGTGTGGTGAGACCCTCTGACATCAGCTTTAAGTGTGTCCTCCTCTCCCAGGGGCAGGGGAGTCACTGCCAGTTCTGCCTCCTCTGCTGCATGGTGTAACTTCTGTGGTCAGTGGTGAGAGCACCTCCTTCTCTAGCACAGTCCCCTTTCCCTCTGAGACTCAGACAGGTCACCTCAGGGCTCAGCGGGCTCCAAGTGGTGTGGCAGGTCCTTCTCAGCGTAGACAAAGCTGTTTCCTTTGCTTTCACCTACAAGGCGCGTGGGTCCGTCTCGTTTCATTTCCTTGATGAAGGCAGGACTTCCCTCTGGTGTGAACTGCAGTTGTCCGAACCCAGTAGGATGCTTTGGTCTCCAGCATCTGTGTTTTCAGACCTGTGTCTGCTCAGGAAGGAAGCTTACAACACAGTCCTGCTCGGAGTGAGCTCACCTCCCTTCAAGCAGGGTCCCCTCCCTCCTCCCCTCGGCTTGGTTCCTAAATAGTCCCAAGCTCAGAGGTCCTGAGGCCTGGGTGGTCACACAAGGTCTGCAAGGATCCCCAGAGACGTGGGGGAGCTGATGGGTGTCATGAACCAGGGACACTGAAGGGCTGGGAGGTGCTGCCTGCATGGCAAAGCTGTCTGTAAACAGGAGCTGTTACCAGGGTTTCTCCCGGCCAAACACTTCAATGAAACTGAAAAATTACAGATTACAAGGGGCGAGGCTGATGTTTTCCCAGCCCAGGTTCTTTCTCAAGCTCCTGCAGAGCTTCCTGACCGCGGCTGGTTACAGGAGACCTCTGAAAGCCTGTGTCAGGTGCTGGCACCGCAGCCTTGGGCTCCCAGCCCCTACCTCCCCCCGAAACCACACAGGTCCTGCTGGACCAGAGCTGACCAGAGGTCCAGGAGAGCAGAGAGGGACCAAATGGCTTGTTCTACCCAGCAAACGCTGGCAGCTGATGAGAGCCAGCCTCCAGCAGTGGGGTGGTGGGGAAGGTGGGGGCATTTTGGCAGGTTTTGCTAAAAAATCCACCCCAAAACCCATATTGCTGTCCATCTGAGGGTTCTTGAGCTTACGTAAAGCGATGTGCTGCCCGGCCCCTGTCTGTGTGTGCGCCCAGGTGAGCGTTGTGCTGTTTGCAGAGAAATGAGAGTACAGGAATGGAAAGACCCATGGGGTAGGTCTAGTTCTGTCACTGCTGGTTTGTCTAAACCATTCCCACAGACCATCCCCTCCACACACCCCGGGCACAAAATATTTAACGCCCTTAAGATCTCCAGCACAAGTAATTGATGCGACTGCTTCCGCCTGGGGCTGGGGCTCTTACTGGTCCCAGTTCAAGCGTGAGCTGGGGATTAGGGTCGGGGGGGGGAGTGAATCTGCTGAAAATGCCAGCCTGTAAAGTGGGTGTGATAAAGTCTCAGGGCACGAGAAAATGGGTATGATAAAGTCTCAGGGCACCCCACCTCATGCCCCAGGGCGAGGCGTGGGTCTCCCCTGGTTTTGGGGAGCAGTTTTTTTCTGCCTGGCGGGGGGGTCGGGTCTTGGTTTGTGGCTGTCATCTGCCCTCGCTCGGCGCTGACACTGATGCTGCCGAGTTATGCAACCCCCTGCCCTCCGGGGAAAAATTCATCCTGCGCATATCTGCAGAATAGTACATGCAGGGATAACAAACACCGAGGGGACAGTCCTACCCCGGGGCTGTTTGCTTAAAACCCAGCTGCCTTTTGCAAACCAAACCC